CTGAAATTCTATATCTTAACTGGCACGTGTGTGTTTGAACACAGCATCTGGTTCCTGTTGTATCATGCATCTTGCCTTACCATGTGGTGGTGGCCAGACAGACCCTGGGACTAGCATGGAGATATAGCTACTGGGAGGGGGCACAAAGACTGAGAAATTCCCAAATAGGGATCAGCCCCTTCCCTCAGACGTGGACCCCTGTGGCCAGGTACCAGCAGAGGTGAGAGGCCCAATTAGATGACTCTCCCACCAATCAGCTTCATGGGATGACCCCAGATTGGTGACAGATACAGATACAGCCTGCCTCAAAGCTTTTGGACTCAGTTGGAGAAAATGAAAGGCATTCTTTGAAACTTAGCAGAGAACCAGCACACATGCCAAACTGTAACAGCTCACCTGTGCATGCGCTGAATTCCCTCCTCCCCCCCCCATTCCACACATATACAAAGTGGGAAGACAGAGCGGGAAACAGAAGAGAGGAGGGTGAAAGAGAGAGAGAGATGAAGAGCCCGGGGGCAGCCGCTTGATGGCTGCCATGGCTTGCCCAGAGAAGGTAGCAGCGGAGCCGTGAGAGCCATGGCCTTTTATGGGCAAGCCACCATTGCCATCAAGTGGCTGCCCCTGGGCTTGGCGAGGCAGCCGCGGCTTGCCCAGAGAAGGCTGTGGCGGAGGTGTGGAAGCCATGGCCTTCAATGGGCAAGCCACTGCCACCTTCGAGCAGCCGCCATGTTTCTTCCCTCTGTGGTGGGGAGAAGTGGGAGGTGCCCGCTCGGCCAGTCGCAGCTCCATCCCTCGCCTCAGAAAGAAGCCCTTACCTTGGAGTCACCCTGCGCTTGCCTCTCCAGCCTCCCACTCCTGCTCCCTCAGAACCGGGGCAGTGGTGAGGACTATAGTTTCCATCATGCCCAACCAGCATGGCCAGTGGACGTTGTAGTCCAACTCATCTGGATAGTACCAGTTTTGGCAAGGTTGCACTTAAAATATGGTAGTCATTAGCTCTGCATACAAATACAGTCATTGTGTATTGTGGAAATTGTTCTGGGCTGACTTGCTTTAAATACTAAAAGGGGCATTAACAGTATTTATCCTTAGAATTTTGCTTCATTCTTTGTAAATGCCAGTTGCAGTCATCAGCTGCATTATGCAAAATACTATATTTGGTTGTGTTGTAGCTATGTCCCTTGAATATGGGCATGCTCTTCCCCACCTCATCTTGGGCTTCTGCTGCAGCCCGAGGGAGCAGAGCAAACATTTTTTAATTAATTTTTGAATGTGCAGTGCACATAGGAATTCATTCATTAAAAAAAAAACTATAGTCCGGCTCCCCAACACTCTGAGACACACTGAACTGGCCCTGTTTAAAAAGTTTGAGGACCCTTGGTATAGTGCCAAAAATACCCATTCTATCAATTTGCAAGCTATTACAACATTCTCATCTCAGGAAAATTAAAACAGGTGCTTACACCCATGAATTAATTCCATTATCTTCTAGAATGGAAAACCCTTCAGACATTAAAAACAGAATAAAATCTTCCACAACTAACACTGACAATACAGATAGCTGGTTCTGACACTAAAACTCTTGTACTTCTTAGTGTCAGAAGAACAAGTTCTCTATCCATACTAGTTCTGAGCCTGCACTGAGCCTTATTTAGAATGTCCCTTAGCTGGGCTTTTTTCATGGGAATCTGCCCAATTCACTATGTATGTATAAAGGGCATGGCTTGTTTCTTCTCACTAGGGATGTACAAATTTTGTTAAATCCATTCCATTGTAGCTTCCTTCAATCTATCAAGGCAAGTCATCTCTCACACAGAGTAAAGCATACTATTCATCAGTAACTTTGCAGAACTTTTTGGTAGTGATGAATATATTGTCTAGATAGTCCACTACCTTTCTTGGAATAAGCATTTGGTTTGCCTTTGATTAGGACCCTACCCAGTGCTTTTTTTTGTAAAAAAAAAAAAAAAAAAAAAAGGTGCCGGAATGCACGTCTTATCTTTTATTTAAAAAATATATATATTCAATTCACCAACTTTTTTTGAAATAAAGAACTTATTTAACTTTTGCATGTAGCCAGTCACTCTACACACACATAAACATAATGGTCGCCGCCGGCAGTAAGCACTCAGTGCACGACCACACGACCAATCCCAAGCCGAGCAGTGTCCCAAGCTGAGCAGTGCCCTCACGATCAGCGCAGACACACAAGCAGCCCGCATGCACTGTTTTAATGATTTTTGCCGCCAACCTGCTATGCCCGACAGGGCGATTCAAAATCACTTGGAAAAATCCGTTGAAAAAATCCATTAAAAAATGGTGCTGGAACACTGTTCCGGTGCGTTCTATGACAAAAAAAGTCCTGACCCTACCTAATCTCAGTTTTAAACCAATACACAAAACAAAACTCAGTACATGTAAATACATGCATTTATACATATTAAATACATGAAAATGGACATATTTAATACATGTATGCATGTATTAAGAAAAAGTACAAAAACCACATAGGCCTTTTCATGCAAACTATAAAGAAAAAAAATCTCAAATGGAACATAAGAGCTGGGAAAATCTGCACTGAAATCTGGAAAGGTCTGCACTGAAATCTGAAAGTTGGAAAATTACAGAGAAAAAAATCAAAAGTCATCCATTCCTAGTTTGCACCAATACCAAACAAGCAATGTTTTCTGAAAATAATTTTAAAGGTTAGGTTAAAGAGTTGTGCCTTAAAACAAAGGAAGCAGAGAAAGAATCATAATTCTAGGGAGAAAATTGTCTTATATCATTTGGAATTTCTTTGTTACTATTTGTATCCTACCATTGTCACAATTGAAAAGTAACCTGCTATGGTTTGTCCCAGAACAAGTAATAAATACATCAGGGTAACTATATCATAAATACTGCATTGGAAATAAAAATTTTCAAGAAATATTCCTTGAAACATTTAAACTTGAAAGCTGCAGCACCATAATGCCTGGACTTGAATGAGACCATTTCAATTACAGAGAAATTAAGAAATAAATGTAACTGATTGCATGTTTTAAATTAACCTACAACTGCACTAGGAATGAGCAGGAAATCAGTTTTTAAAGGTTCATTGTATAACATAGCAGGTACCAATCAAGTAAACGGAAAAGTTATCTTAAAAAGCAAAAACAGAAACAATGAAGAATAATTCAAGCAGAAACCACTTGAGATGGTTTGTTAGTTCACACTTAGATATTTGAAAACCAGCCAGACAACTCAACTTTCAAATGCAAACTGCTGACAGACAAGTTTATGACTTATCAGCAATATTTTAGTACTTATTGATCTGTACTTATATTCTACCATAGAGTGATAACAACTCTCTCTCTCTCTCTCTCTCTCTCTCTCTCTCTCTCTCACACACACACACACACACACACACACACAAAGAGTCAATTGTAGAAAACAATAAACTGTTTGCCTTCTGAAATAGTCAGAGGATTCTTGCCCCACACCTACCACCTTCAGGAGGTATATTTAATATAACTATGGCATAGACCATGCTTGTCTACCATGCCCAGATTCTTCCCCACCAGGCTTGTTGGACTTCATCCTTATCTACCTCTGGATGTCTGGTGAAGACTTTCAATACACTCTCAATATTAATGAATTCTGTATACCACTTGTAAGGACCTTTTGAAGTGCAAAAGTGTCCTAGGATATATAAATAACTACAGCATTCCACTTAATTAAATAATGTGTCTACGTGGCAAACTACACGGTGCAAACTGAAAGACTGCAGCATTGGAGCATTGCAAATGGCTGGGCAGAAAATCTGACTGCATTTTAACACTGAAAGCAATGGCTTCTATGTATGATCAGACTTCTTAAGCTCTAATCAGCCTGTATAGGAAACTTTGCCTAAGGCCTGGGCTGAGAAATCTGCATTTGAACTCTGTTGCTCAGTTAGATACATCCAAAAGTAGACAAATAAATTTAATGAATCTAATTTAATGAATCTAATTTTCAAAGGCAGGCTTGATAGTAACTTTCTAAAAGGAAAAGTTAACAAAGTCTTACCCAGTATGCATTTATTATCAATGATGAATAAAAGTGTGATTAGCCATTGATAAAGGAGAGTTGCGTGTGACTTTATCTAGAATGAATAGTGGGGCACAGGCTATGACTCAGAAAATAAAATGAAAAGCTGTCATAATATGTACTTAGCCTAAGTACACTTCTTGGTCTTAATTTAGCACTCTTCCATCATTTCCAAGAGCACACACAATCGTTCTAGACAGGGATCAACATTGTATTTCACATCCAACATAACAATACTATGTATACATAAAAACTTTAATCAGCTTTCATAAATCCTTCCAATGGACTCTCCAGTAAATTTAAATATTCTGTATATTATATAACTCAAAGACCAGTTTTACAGTTCTGAGGTATCCAGGATATAGCTGGCACACCATTTTGTGGCCTTCTCTAACATAATCCCATTACTGGTCAGCAATACTGAGATATGCCAAGCCCATAAACCAGAAGTAGAGCCACTAGCCAAAGGTTTTCTGGCTCCAATGTGCCTTCCTGATGTTTCTGCCTGTTTACCTGCTTTCTCTAAATCCATAAGCACAAAAACAAAGGAGCAGCTGTCTCTACTTGCCTTGCACTCTCCTCCTTCTAGATACTGAAGGAGAAGGCAGTTACATGGAAAGTGATGAGGTGGAGGGGAGCAACTCAGGTAAGGAGCCCTACTGTGAGCATCTTGTCCAAGAAAAAATGCCTGTGGGTATGTCCTCTGGAATAATTTGGGGGAAGAAGAACATGCCTATATAAACATAGCCTAAATTTTAAAAGGAAAACCTAAAAGATCTAAAAAAGCCAAACAAAAAACCTAGTTAAAATAGTAGCAGATTATTCAAAAGTTTTCCTTGGTTACACTGCAACAATTCAGAGCATTCTTAATGCAGACATGACAAACATTTTTTTCACAATTAATATACAGAAACACTTCTTATTTCTCTTACCAGGCTCAGTAACCTGTTTGGTGAGATGCTGGTGATTGACAATTGCTGTGGAATGTTGCAAAGTTGGTCTCTCTTCGAGTTCAGACTCTGGGATGGTAGCACAACCACCTAAGTTGCAGATAAAATATTTGTAAATGAAGGAACATAGACCTAAATAAGTGTGCATGCACACATAAATAGAAATAGAGAAACAGAGCGAGTCAGAAGGGGCCTACTAGGCCATCTAGTCTGACCCCCGGCTCTAGCCAGCACCACTCATGACATGTCTATCATGTGCATGTCTAGCCTATCCTTAAACACCCTCACCAATGGGGCCTCAATCACCTCCCTGAAAGTCCATTCCAAACCCTCGAGGTCCTAACTGTCAGGAAGTACTTCCTGGCATCCAAATTGAACCTTGGTTCCCTGAGCTTTGCTCTGCTGGAGCATGTCCTGCCCTCCTCTGCAGGGGAGAAACTCCATATATGTTCAGAACATTTCCTTTCACAAAAGAGAATGAAAAGTAGTGATAAGCTATGATTATGATACACGGAGGTGTTTGCAGTTTTCTTCTTGGAGGAAAGACAAAATGCCTGAATTGATCGAGAAAACCCATGAACAGGATATTTTCTACCCCAAAAAGGAAAAACACCCACATTTAAAAGTAAGGTTTAAATCTTCTTGGTATATGACAATTGTCAAACAAAGTGCAAGCTGCATGTGTTTCTGATCCTGAAAGGTTGTTACATTTAGCTGACAGTTGCCTGACTATAATCTATTCCCACATGATGCATTTTCAATAGTCAGCTGGATCAACACATCTCCCCTCTTATGTGAACACAAGTTATGTAAAGAAAATCATGAAACTATTTCTCTAAGCTTTTTATGTATGGAATCCTTGTTTCCCAGATAAAACCCAAGGTACGAGTAAAAGATATAAACATAACTGGCTATGAGAGATTCATAGAAATAAACCCCTTTAAATATTTCATACCATTGAAATTATGAGTGAAATGTCATGTAGCCCATTAGCACATATAAGGTTTCGGCATATAAGTAAGAATTCTGAAAGCTTAGCTAGGAGAAAAAAGAAAAAAAGAGAAAAGAAATCCCAGAGGTTACATAGCCTTGAAAATGAAAACCTTTGATACCAAACTATTTCATTAGACATCAGGACAACTTTCCCATTGAATGTAACTTGATCTCTGTCAAAAATGTTGGTTTGCCCTAAGGCACCTCATGCAATTGGCTGGAAGGAAGTAAGACATCCTGATTTTCGTTTTGATGTCAGAGGTGCATAAAGATCTGCTTGTCAACTGACACTTTCAAAATGTGCCAGTATTAAAAGCCAATTTTTTCCCATTGTCTTAGTTTTCTTACATATTATTGTACAATTATTGTACATCCTTTTAAAAATGCACACACAGGTGTGCACATAAGGTGCTTGCACAAGGGAGTCTGCAAAAGACAATGTAAATATTATTCTGCAGCTGCATCAGAACCCATATACATAAAAAAAATCAACAGAAAATGCTAGAAATGTTGCTCCTGTTTGAAAGGGCAAACGAGTCAAATGTTTGCCTTTCTAAGCCCCGCCATCTTTTACTACCATTTTAACCAATGGCTAGGCTCTCCCTTTTGACAGAATTGCTACCGCTTCCTAAGGTACAGCATGCTTCACAGACATTCCCAAAACTTTAAATAACTCATAAGGTGTTCTCTGAGCTGGAAAAAGCAAAACAATGACTCCACCCCCCTCCACTGAAATTTGCTAGCTAGAAACGGGTTCACACACAACATGCATACTGCTAGATTTCACTATACAAACTTTTTATTGATGGTTCCTGTTTTCAAACTAGGGAATCATTTCAGACATTGTGTGTGCCCTCACCCCCACCTGCTCATATTAGGCGATGTCCAAACCCTTCCAATGTATGGAGGTGACCTGACAGGGGCTTTTTGCCCTCCTAAATGGAAGCCCAGCTAACACACAGTCAGCAGCATTATGTGCTTATGTTAGTGGTTCCAAAAAGTCAAAGTCAACAGGAACCAATATTCTCAAGCGCAATAGTTTAGAGTATTAATAAAGGTTATCCCTATCACATGCAAAACACATTTATCCAGTCTATAGGAGACTAATTTTATTGTGCATTCCTACAGCACTTTCTCCTTTGAATGCCTGCTTAATTTCATTCAGCATCTCAAATTCACTTTGAACATTTTGGCCAGGAAGACAGTGGCGTGTCTCCAATACTAAATTACTTTGAATCCCACTATTGATGCCCATAGCAATTCTGTACAGCAGTCTGTTTTAATTTAGATTGTTTAATACTAGGTGTTTGACAGAATGACACCACCTTCAGTATGCCCTTTCCAATCCTCCCTAAGGAAGTCATATGTAGGCATAGCTATATCCTCTGCTTCTTCCAGTTTCCATTATGCTCACCAAAAAAACAACAACCCTCCCATTCCAACTCTCCCATCTTTGCTCAGAAATGTCTAGTGTTGGCAAAGAAATAGTGTAGATGGTGTTCCTCTAAACCCCTCCTCTTTGTGCCACAGTCTCATCCATGTATTGAGAGTACGCAGTTTTGCCTGTCTAGTTGGCCTTGACATGGAACAGATGGCATCCCTCTGTAAAAACAAACAAACCCTACCATGGAACTCCTCTTCAGCCTTCCACATAGCAATCTAAATTTGGTTTCTAAGATATCACTACATTTCTCCACATCACTGGAGCTGAAATGCACCACAGCAACTGACTCAACTCCAGCACTATTAGCCTATCTAGATGATGCATGATATCTGTGACCTTACATCTAAGCCAGACAATCAATAATGATAAACCTCCTACCTTCTGGAGGCAATTTCTTGGCATGAGAGAATTTCTGCTTGTCCTTCAAAGAATGGGTATCTTCTAAGGGTGATGCTCAGAGTGCTCTTCTTCCCTGAGACCCTCACCCCATTTGATTGCAAAGGAGGTGTCACCCTGAGATCAAGACACTGCTATCCAATTCCCATCCACATACTTTTCTCCAGATCAGTTTTTTTAACTTCAGGGAAAACAATTTGTTCTCTTAGGGCCACAAGAGTACTGCACTGGCACACACCTAAAGCTTCTATGCTGAGAATTGAAAATTTTATCAGGGGAATGGATAATGAGTACAGAATTAAGGAGATGATACAGCCTACCCTCCTTTGGGAGGGCATAAGGCAGAGGCACGATGAACCTGGCCCAATATGACTTCCAGACAATGTAGTGCCCTCCATATGGAAGAACACAAACTAAAGGCCAAACCAAACATGACAATATCAAATCTTTAAATCAGAACAAAATCTTTGCCAACTTCCTATAAAGTAAGGAGGTGCGGGGGGGAGCACTGAGGCCTTTTCCTGGTACTAACCCATAATTTACAGGAATGTTTTATAAACAACCCATGACCACCCTGTTTGTAGGTTGTTCGAATGCCAGCCAAAGCCAAACACTCTGGGTTTTATGGGTTAAAGAATTCAAAGTTAACCTATGATTTGATGTCACAACATGTGACCAAGCCCAGTGTTACGTTTAAACCATGTTACCCTGCCTATGTCTTGAATCCATGGCTCAAGTGTGTGCTCTGCCATGTCAGTGCTGCACAAATAGTAATTGAGGCCTCAGATGGAATGAGTTATCAGCAGTGTGAAATTACATATAAGTTGGTTTTGCTCACACTTGGGATCTCACTTACACTGGGACTTCCTTTTAGTCCAGTATGATGAAAATAACAGATATATTACAGCTTTACCCATCAACCTTCAGGAATGGTTATCTCAGTCTAGATCAGCACTCATGATGCTTTTTCTCGATTATCTATTTTACCGTTATTTAATTATTAAGAATTTAGCAGTGAACTATTGAGAAATATTTTCTAACCAAAGGACTGCAAAATAAAGTATAATGATTTAAATCCACTGATGACTAAAGCAAGTTGTATCAAGAACAAGAGAAAGAGATGTAAATGTGGGGTGGGGGAGAGATTGGCACGCAAATCCAACACTTTGGAAAGGATTCAAGTTGAAAAGTTCTCCAGATGTAAGACTGTAAACAGTGATTCATAAAATGAATTTTCCCATTAATTGCTGGCAAGGAAGGACAGCATCAAGAATATGTTATTGTATTATGACCCATTCTTTTCCCTTTTTCTGTAAGGCTAAATTCTTGTTTGACACCACAGATCTTTTATCAGTTGTGATAAATCGAGCCAGCAAGCTGTGGTCAGCAAAACTGTTTGATAACTTATAACATTCATAAAATTACAGCCAAGCAGTTGCGAACTTTATTCACTGAAGGAAACAGGACCTCTCTTGTTTATTTTCACTTACTGTGCTCAACACCACATTTTATGCTTACCTTGGAAAAAGACCCACATCTAAAGAAAAGGAACAAGCAATGCTTGACAAGCAACACCTCTGAGTTGTCTGGAAATAGATTTTGAAGCAGAATTCACTGAGGAAGGATAGGATGCACTGGCAGACTTTGGACTCTAGACTGATAGATTTCAGGATGAGCTATCTGAATCACTCCTCCAACCTTACAATGCTGTTCATTTTTTAGGGGAGGCAAAAAGTGATGAGAAGCTATGTAATGGCAAAGTGCACAGCTGTCTCCTATAATTTTATTGCAGAGAAGGCTTAGGAATTCATAAGCTGATGGGGAAGAAGCTAAAAGTGCTCAATTCAGCTTTAGCTCAACTTGCTAGTGCATATCCTTTCTCACATGCGTATTTATAAGCATACAACCTGAGAAAAGAACAACCTAAGATCTCTGGCTCAGGCAAGGCATGCACATGATAAACTGCAGGCAAAACTTGGATGTAAGAAGGGAAATAGCTCAAGAACACTGACAAAATGTAGTAGTGAAAAATATTGTACTAAAAATATTTAAAGAAAAAGTATATCACCCCTAACAGACTATTCCCTTATTATCTTCAATAGCAATGCTACAGCAAGGAAAGATAGGGTTGGAAAGTTATGGCTTAACAAATAAGGAGTGTGGAGGGCATTGGGGTAATAGCGAGTCATTCACTGGCAGATTCAATAATTTGTTACCATTTGTACACATGGATTACTTGAAAGGAAAAACAAAATTA